TCAGAAGACCAGTTGGATTCTGAAGGGTCCGGAAGAGGAGGAGCCGTTGGTACCAATGGAACCGACAGTGTTAGGCATGATCCGGGAGGACGGTCAACTAGGAAGAGTGGAGAAGGGTGGATCACAAGAGGTTCATTGCCCAAGAGTCCCAGTGGAGTTGACAGTGCCGGGAATGAAGTAGGGGGCCCTGGTCTGGAATGGAAGACTGAGACGGTGGTGTTTGGAGTAGTGCTCCGTGAGCGCTCTCTTTGGAGCTAGAGCAGGAGCCGAACCTTCCGCAGTAATGCACGACTTCTTGCCCGACCAATCATGGCTTGGGGAGGCAATGCTGTATTTTGAGGTGGTCCCAATCGGGGAGCTGCCCTTGTGTCCATGCTTCTTGTGCACGCGGTGGGGCTTCGGTGGGTGCGGCGGTGCCGCTGGTGCCAGGGACGGTGAGTTGTATGGGCCCATTGTGCCCGGGCTGCAGCAAATTCAGGGCCCCGGGGGCCTGGCTCCACCAATGTTCAGGGGCGGGTCTATCCCCCAGCCCTGCCTGCCACCCCAGCACACCTCCTCCATCAAGCGTCTCCTCCCCTAAGCGTCCCTGCCTGCCCTAGGTAGCGGGTGGCTACCCCCCTGCAGCTCCACGCTGTGCTCCCTTGCTGGCTGCTGACGGCTACAAGGGAGTGGCACCGGGGGGCAGGCTGAGGCAGCTGCCAGGGCCAGCCTTTGACCAGGGTGATAAGGGCAGTTGCCCAGGGCGACATGCTGATGGGGGCGCATTTGATATGTCCCACTCAGGGCCAGCTCCAGGCACCAGCCGAGCAAGTTGGTGCTTGGGGCGGCACCTTGTAGGAGGTGGCATTCCGCCCAATCCTAGGGGGCACGGCCACTTTTTTGGTTGTTGTTGTTCCGCTCTGGCCGCCCTGTAGGGGGCAACAGCGTGGAGGACGGGAGCACCCTGCAGCAAGCCCGGCAGGGCAGCCAGCGTCCTTCCCTCCCAGCTGACCGGAGCGGTGCAGAGCCCTCCCGGCAGGGGGCACGGCGGGAGGGGCCACGTGGCAGCGCCCCGCTGAAGCCCTGGCCACCCCCCTTCTCTCTCTCCCTCCGCTCCCTCCCTCTCCCCCGCTAGCCAGGGCACATCTGCAGGGCACCCTGGCTCCGGCCATGCCGCGGGTTTGTTTGTTTTTTGCTTTGCTGTTCTGGCTGCTGCAGTTTTTTTTTTTGCTTGGGGCGGCCAGAAAGCCAGAGCTGGCCCTGGTCTTAAGGAGGGGAAGCCAACCAGCTGGGCTTAAGGAGGGGAAGCACTACTGCCAGCCCAGCCAGGGTCAGGGAGGGAGAGAAAAAAAAAAAAACACACATCCAAGCTGCAGCTTGAGGCACTCACTCTCATGTAATTCCTCTGGTGGGAGCAACAGCAGGGGTGGGTGTCCGGGGTGGGCAGAGAGTGGGCTCCCCACTCTCCCAGGACAGAGGGCCCCCTGTAGAAACCATGGGGAGTGAGTGGGGCAGGCTGTGCTGGGTCCCGACCTGATGTCTGGGATGGGTGGCTGCAGTTGATGCGGGTGTTGAAGGAGGAGTGTGTGTGCAGCTTGTCTCTGTGTTCCGGCTGACTGGATGCTTGGAGCAGCCCTGCTATCTGGTTGTGTGTTAGTGTAGAACAGATCCTGGTCCACCCCCCTTTTCTTCCCCGTCCCCAGTAAGAGCCACACTTGTCCAGAAAAGGGCTTGCTCTTTCCCTGGGCACTGCCGGCAGGACTGGAGTGCACATTTAGCTCTGCACATTTAGCTCCCATGCTAACCAGGGGTGCTGCTGCAGCCTGCCTGCTCCCATCCTATCCATCCCATCCCTGCAGAGAGGTGACACATGGAGGGCGGGGGCATTCACTGGGTCACATTACCCCTCCTCCCCAGTTTCTGCCAGGGTTTGCCTGCTGAACTCTCTCCCTTCTTCCCCCGCTTGCTGGAGGCAGCCTGGGACCCCAACGGGAGAAGTAAACAAACAGCATGTGCACCAAATAGCTGGGAGATTGGGAGCAGTAGAGAGGAAGGTCTGCTGCTTCAGCTCTGCAGGGAGAGGTTAGGTAGGGGAGGAAGGAAGGAACAGCTTCTTTCCCATAGGGGAACTGAGAGCAAGGGGGAGGGCTGGGCTGCCTGGGGGGGGGTATGACGACACTGGAGCTGTTGGAGGGGAACCTTTAAATTGTGCCCCCCCACCCATCAGCAGCTGACGGTCCTGTCCTCCCTGCTCCCATGGCTCAGAAGCTTCACTCACGTGGTCCGGGAGAGAGAGAGGGGGGGGCTGGGCTGCCTGGGGGGGGGTAGGACGACACTGGAGCTGTTGGAGGGGAACCTTTAAATTGTGCCCCCCCACCCATCAGCAGCTGACGGTCCTGTCCTCCCTGCTCCCATGGCTCAGAAGCTTCACTCACGTGGTCCGGGAGAGAGAGAGGGGGGTGCTGGGCTGCTGCCTCCCCAGAGTCAGGCAGGCGGGGGCATCAGAGATAAATGAGTGTGACTGAGATCAGCTCCCCCATGTGCCTCCTTCCCGCCCCCCCGTACATTATTCTTGCCAGCAAGTTAAAGAAGTATGGGCTGGATGAATGGACTGTAAGGTGGATAGAAAGCTGGCTAGATCGTCGGGCTCAATGGGTAGGGATCAATGGCTCCATGTCTAGTTGGGAGCCGGTTTCAAGTAGAGTGCCCCAAGGGTCGGTCTTGGGGCTGGTTTTGTTTAATATCTTCATTAATGATCTGGAAGATGGTGTGGACTGCACTCTCAGCAAGTTTGCAGATGACACTAAACTAGGAGGCATGGTAGATACACTAGAGGGTAGGGATCAGATACAGAGGGACCTAGACAAATTAGAGGATTGGGCCAAAAAAAACCTGATAAGGTTCAACAAGGACAAGTGCAGAGTCCTGCACTTAGGACGGAAGAATCCCATGCACTGCTACAGACTAGGGACTGAATGGCTAGGTAGCAGTTCTGCAGAAAAGGACCTAAGGGTCACAGTGGATGAGAAGCTGGATATGAGTCAACAGTGTGCTCTTGTTGCCAGGAAGGCTAATGGCATTTTGGGCTGTATAAGTAGGGGCATTGCCAGTAGATCGAGGAACGTGATCGTTCCCCTTTATTTGACATTGGTGAGGCCTCATCTGGAGTACTGTGTCCAGTTTTGGGCCCCACACTACAACAAGGATGTGGAAAAATTGGAAAGAGTCCAGAGGAGGGCAACAAAAATGATTAGGGGTCTGGCGCACATGACTTATGAGGAGAGGCTGAGGGAACTGGGATTGTTTAGTCTCCAGAAGAGAAGAATGAGGGGGGATTTGATAGCAGCCTTCAACTACCTGAAGGGGGGTTCCAAAGAGGATGGAGCTCGGCTGTTCTCAGTGGTGGCAGATGACAGAATAAGGAGCAGTGGGGGAGGTCTAGGTTGGATATTAGGAAACACTATTTCACTAGGAGGGTGGTGAAGCCCTGGAATGCGTTACCTAGGGAGGTGGTGGAGTCTCCTTCCTTGGAGGTTTTTAAAGGCCCGGCTTGAAAAAGCCCTGGCTAGGATGATTTAGTTGGAAATTGGTCCTGCTTTGAGCAGGGGTTGGACTAGATGACCTCCTGAGGTCCCTTCCAACCCTGATATTCTATGATCTGAATAGGAGTGGGAATGGGAGTCACAGTGGGTGGTGTCTGGCTGCCTGCTGGGACCTCCTTGAAACCCATTTACCTTTCATTCAATCCCTGATAGCCCAAGGGTGTGGGTAGGCATTCTTTTTTTAACTGTTTCAGTTTCCACTACAAGTTGTATTTAATGGTATACTGAAATTCCTTGGGGCAGGACCTTGTCTAAGCTGTTGGGCACAGTGTTGTGTACATTTCTATGCTGCATCAAGATTAAGAATAAGGAAATTCCTTTCTTTACTCCCAGCTTAATCCCATATCCTTCAAACCTCATTCATCCTCTGGAAGTCACTGGGGTTCCTGCTGTTAGTGTGAGGATGGAACTGAGGATAATGTGTGATTGTTGTGGCTTACAGTTTCAATCAGGCCCTTAAACTGAGACATAACTCTAGAGGGGACATCTAGACGGGACATCCCCACTTCATATCTGCTGCTCTGGTTTATAAATAGGCTTGGTAGAATGCACTTTTTTATAACTTTGATGTGTAATATACATTGTTTATTTTAAAAATTGTTTTATTTTTAAGCACCCCAAGCTCCCTCCCGCACCCCCTCCTGCACCCTAACCCCTTGACCCAGCCAGGAGCTGGCACCCAGCACCCAAATTCACTACCAGAGCCTGCACCCAAACTCTCTCCCAGAGCCTGCACCCCAAACCCTCTCCTGCACCCAAACTCCCTCTCAGAGCCTTGGGCAGGTGTGGGGGGAGGGCAGAATTTGGACCCATTCTGGACACCACCAAATATTATACAAACCCGCTGTCCCTGGCCGGTGGGGCATAGACTAGTCCCCGGGCAGGAGAGGAGAAGTCCCCAATAGGGGAAAAAAGCTCAAGGGAGAACCTAACTAACTCCTACGAACAAATGGACAACTATCTAACTAGAAAAAACTATGTACAATGAAAGGCAAATGTAGTACTCTTAGCTGGGTAAGAGCACAGAGGAACAGAGGGTTCCGACTCTGGAGTGGCGTCGACCCACACAGCCTCGTAAAGCCTCAGAGTGTCATGTGATCAATGCATGATGCACATGTGAGTCAACGGAAACTACTATGAACAGTTCTGGATCCGGTGCATGGTGCGCATGTGCATCTGCATTTAGAATCCACATAGAGAGCAGCACTTGAAGAATAATAATCCATTTTCAGGGCAAAAAACAAACAAAAAAAAAGTCTGTGTATTTGATTTCCATACACAATCCTGCTTTTATCAAACAACCTATGTGAAACTGATCTTAATTATAAAAATGTCCTTTTATCTAAAAGAGAAAATTTATTTTTAGACTAAATGACTAATTTTAATAATTTATTCTGATGTGCGTGGGTTGTTGCTTACCTGAAAAATCCAGTGCACATACTCCTCTTTGGTGCTGGCCTTTCAGCAATGATAAACATTTTAGTGTCTGTGTGTCCCACACATGGATAGCAGCATCTCTTCCAACCTAAAGTAAGTATCAGAGGGGTAGCCATGTTAGTCTGGATCTGTAAAAGCAGCAAAGAGTCCTGTGGCCCCTTATAGACTAACAGACATATTGAAGCATGAGTTTCGTGGGTGAATATGCATGAATATTCACCCACGAAAGCTCATGCTCCAATACGTCTGTTAGTCTATAAGGTGCCACAGGACTCTTTGCTGCAATCTAAATTAGAATGCTAATCTTAATAGCTTTTCATAAACTACTATAACAACAACATTTAGCAATTTTGCATCTTCAGAACACTTTAGAAGCATTAACCTTTGCACTCATTAGATCTTATCTTCACCAAGAACTGCTCTCTCTCCAATTTCTCCATCTCTGACTTCCACATTCCTGGTCACCACCACATCTCCCTTACTACCACCTACCTGCCCCCTCAGCCTTGCCCCAAAACCCCATCCTTCTGTGATTTCCTATCCATCAACATTGAGAACTTCTCTTTCATTCTCAGTGCCCTCTTCCTTGCCTTCTCCTATGGTGGATATCCCACAACCATACACATTCTTCCACTAATTCATTTTTCTGTTTTGCCATCCTTTCAGCCACACAGCTCTACTTCTCCACCTTCACTCAATCCCACACCCACAACCCCAGCTGTATTTTTTTTTACCACCTTTGAATCTTTACTTAACCTCCCCCTTTCTGTCCCTTCCCCCAATCTCTGCCCAGTCTTCAAAGGAAATATTGAAAACAATCTGGTATAACCTCCTCCTTCTCATCTCTCCTTTTCCACTGCATACTCTCCTGCTTCCCTCCTCCTCCAGCTCCTTCCAGTCTCCTGACCTCCCTCACCCCTTACTCTATTTCTTCCTTCCCCTCCCTGTATGAGCATGCTTTGGTCTCCCCCATTGTAAAAAAACAAAAACCACCTCACTCATGGTAGCTTCCTTTCAAATTATCACCCAATCTCTCTTCGCCTGTGGGGGAGGAATAGCTCAGTGGTCTGAGCATTGGCCTGCTTAAACCCAGGGTTGTGAGTTCAATCCTTAACGGGGCCATTTAGGGATCTGGGGCAAAAATCTGTCTGGGGATGGGTCCTGCTTTGAGCAGGGGGTTGGACTAGATGACCTCCTGAGGTCCCTTCCAACCCTGATATTCTATGATTTCCAAATTCCTTGAATGCACCTTCTAGAACCACTGTGTGAAGTTCCTTTCCTCCCATTCCAGCCTAGATCCTCTTCAGTCTGACTTCCAGCTTTACACGCCACACTTAACAAAGGGTCTATTGAGCACTTTGCATCCAAATAACATGGCTTCCTACTGGCTAACTTTGATGCTGCTGGCCATGGTCTTTTAAAATTTCACCTTCCCTCAGCTTTTGAAACTATTCTGCCCTAGTTCTCTTCCTACCTCTTTAATCATTTCTTCAGTGTTTTGTTTGGTGGGTCCTCCTCATATGCCCTGTAACTAATGTTGGGGATTCAAGAAAGCTCCAGCCTTTACACTCTTCTTCCTCTGCACTCTGTCTCAGGATGATCTTATCCATAAACAAAATGTTGACTTCATATCCACTCCAGACTTGCCTTCATCTGCACAAACTTAAATCTCAGCCTGTCCTTCTGACATCTCTTTGTGGATGTGCAGCCATCAATTTAAATGCAACATTCCCAAATCAGAGGTCTTATAAATTGTCCCAAAGCCTCTCCTCTCTCTCTTTTCCCCTCTGGGCACCATCTCTAATTCAGCCCCTCCTTCATCTAGGCTGAGTCTAAATTTCTGGTAAAGAATGTTTCTGAAATTTGACCTTTTCTCTCTCTCCACCATCAAATTCTCATCTAGGCCCTTATTTTGCACCTTAACTGCAGCAACTTCCTCCTCCCTGGCCTTAACTGCTGCACCTTTGTTCCCCTCACGTCCATTCAAAATGCTGCTTCTAGGGTTATCTTCCTGGTTCTGAGCACATCAGTCTTCTCTTTGAGTTTCTCCAAATGCTTTCACTTATCTGCACATCCAACATATGCTTCTTGTCTCTATCTATAAGCCTTTTCATGATTTGGTCCCACACTACATAGTTGACCTAGTAATTTATATCATGATGATGATCCCTGCTTTTGGTTCTCCAACATTCCCAGTCTTTACTGCCCACCAGTCAGCTTCTCCCTAAACACCTTTGAGCTTTCCCCCCCCCCCCATCACCACTCTTTATACATAGGTAAAACTCACTTTTATAATTCATATAGTTCTATTTCATCTTCCTTCAAATCCAACACTCACCCCTGCCATGATGAGTACAAATCCCTGCCTGATGAGAATGGATAGGGAAAAAGTAGGGCTACAGGTTTGTCATGGTGGGTGAAAAAAACAAAGTCACCTTTAGTGTGATTTTCCCATTTGCCCATGACTTTTTCTGTCAGTCACTCACTCACAGCAGCAGCAGCGCTGACCCTACAGGGCTGGGCCCAGCTCCCTGCTCTGGGCATTATGACCTAGTACACCAGGTTGCAGTGCTACTCAGGTCTGACCCACTCAACCTCTGTCATAATGTGTGTGTTGGGGGGAAGGGGGTACTGGGCAAACCAGAGCAAACATGCCAAGTCACAATGCCCAGAGCAGGGTGCCAGACGCAGGCCCACAGGACCTGCTGCTGCAGGATGAGTGTGGGCAGGCTCTCATTTTTCAGAGCATCCTCCACCTCGTGGGGGAGCCCTCCCTTCCATACCAAGTCAGGATTAGGGTTGCAGTCCTGAGGTTGAAGGGGCTGCTGTGGATGGTCCATGTCTCCTCCACAGGGTAAGGAGGACAATTTTTTTTAAAATCAAAAGGCAGGCAGAAGTCAAGGTAAATTTGGTAACCCATGACTTACTATATCTGCCATAACTGCTTCCTGATTTTTGTTTAAAAAAATGCTATGACAAATCTGCAGCCCTAACGATCAGGAATCTAATGTTACTGCTCTTCTTCGTCTTATTATACCTAAAGATTGTGAACATTGCTAATCTTTACACAAATATTCTGTTACTATCATTAGCTCATCCTCCCTGGCCCCTGTCTATATGTCTTGCCATCCTGTTGTATCTTAGCATTAAGAATTAAAGCTTTTTGCGTCAGGACAGTCTTATTTTGTCAGTATGGTGCCTACTTGGGACCTTTAGGTGCTACTGTTATGCAAATATAATAAAATAATAAATACCTAACTAAACATCAGAAGACTCATGGGAGGTAGGGAAAAATGTATTATTTTCTACATTTTACAGATGAGGAACAAAGGTTCAGAGTGAATACTTTTCAAATGCCACAATAGGAGACTCTAATTTCTGTTTTTTAGGAATACTGTAACAGTGTCATAATCATTGTTTCCACTACTGCTTTCCCTAGCAGTTAGGCAATGACATGGGTGGCAAAACATTTAATCTGTGATTTTCAAAGCAGGAAAATGCCTCTCTTTATGACAAAGGTACACAAACTGTTTTGCATTTCTCAAATATAGTTTGTGATAGAGAATCCCTTAATTTGTTTTGTCATGACCAACACTCCTAGATACACACCTGTCCAGTAGCAACATAATCTTTCATTGGATGGATGGTTAGGCTGAGGATGTCATCATCATGACCAAGATATAGTCTTTGGGTGTGTTGTTGCCTACTGTATACAATGGCAACAGCAGCGATATGGTAAACTACCTCTCCAGTTTGTGTGTAGAACAAATTATTTCGACAGTCGTAGCCTCGGTAACTGAAATAAATATAAAGCAAAGGAAGTTGAATATGCCACCAAAAAAATCCATGTACTTTGGGGGAAAACAATCTAACTGCAAATGACTTACCTGAGCTAGACCCAAAATATGATAATATACAGACTGACTACAACCATTTAAATGTCTTATATTACATTCATAATTGTTAACAACTAGAGCTGTGTAAAACTCCATGGTTTTCTTTGCACTAGTTAAGTATACATTTTTTTCTGCATTCAAAGAGTTACCTCTCAAGTTTCATTTTGATTTTGGGGATTAACTGAACCAAAAACTCATCCAAAACTGTCAGGGTTCACCTGATTTTGCATCAAAATTATGAGAAAATCATGATTGGTTCTGCTTTGAGCAGGAGGTTGGACTAGATTACCTCCTGAGGTTCCGTCCAACCCTGATATTCTATGATTCTAAAAAACAGAGTTCCTATGGTCTAGATGAGACATCATAAATTAGCTCAAGTTCATACAAAATTATGGCAAGGAAAGTTTTGCATGCTTCTGTGCTGCAAATGTAACAACCATAGCCTATGGACCTAATGACAGCTCCAGGAAATACCAGGGAAAATCAACTGTGAGTTGAAAAGGTGATCTTAAAAAAAAGGGTAATGCTTGGTCATTACTTAGGTACATCTTTATATCCTCCTCCCTAACAATCACAATTGAAAGAAAGAGAAATGTATAGGTGATATTCCCATTTTTACCACAATACTAGTAAGCACAGTAATTTACCTGTGGGTAAGCAGTGGAAAATGTTACATCAAATACTTTACCTCAAATTAATCAAGATGTGTTTAAGAGTATTTATTTAAGCACTGTGATATTCAATGGAACTTGTGGTTTACAAAAGAGAAGTCCAAGAACCTTTACTTAGTAGTTACAATACCCATGTACAAACTGCAGTTTTAAGCTGTCCCCAGGAGCTCTCTCTCTTTTAAGGAAGGGCACTGAATGGTTTTTCTCTTTACTTTGTTGTTTCAGCTGAGGTAGATCTTCTTTGTAAACCTAAAGAAGAAGTTAGACTTAATTATACATCTCAAGTGTATTGAATATAAATACACACTGACCAATTCCTTAAATAATAATAATGAAAAATATTAGTTATATGTCGGTGTGCTCAACAATGTACAAGATATAGAAGAAGTCATGATCCCTGCCCTAAAGAGAGGAAGAGGATCCCCACTTGTGGTATATGATATTAATGGAATATCAGAAAAAGGTCATTGCTATTCAAGAAGTTTCATGTATCACATACTACTTTGTGAACAGGATTTTTAATACCAATTCTCTAAATTTCTTTTTCCAAATTAATACATGTACTCAAACCTGTACATAATAATGAAATAATTCCATCAAGAATTCTGGCGACATACACAATAAGCACGCTACTTAAGTGATTTGCAAATGTCACCAGAATCCTGAGATGGAATTACAGTCTTAATATATATACCAGAGATACAAAATATTATACATATAAATCAGTTAGAGATGCTGACACATTGTGGAACTGCTAGAGCTCCTTTGAAGCCACTCAGAGGTTGTGACATCAATTAAATCCACAATGAGGCTGAAATATAGCTTTACATTATTTTTTTTTGTACATCTCTTCATTTCTTGGTTTTAGCTGGCAGTGGAGGTACCAAAATCTCTTTCAACAAAAGTTATTTCCACACTAATTCTGACCTAATTGCAACCCAAGGGTGCTGAAAACTTCATAAGAATGTCTGATCTGGAAATGTTACCACACAGAGGTTTAGATAACCATCTGAAATTTTGGATGCCTATACAAACACAACCTCTAGACATTTTGCCTGTTACTAGCATACACTGTACTGTTCACACACTCTTTTAATCTGGTTTCAAACACCATCTTCAAAAACTTTTAAAGGATGCAACCTGTAAATAAGTCCACTCACTATTAGGGCCCCCCTCCTAGCCAGGCATGGCATAGCAATTCTCTCACTACTCTAGCACTGTCCTGCCAACGGTTGCTCCGGCACTGTGGTGGCTTCTCTTCCAGTAACTTGGCCCTTCGGCTGGGTCACCATTTTAAGTCCACCCCTTTCAGAGTCACAACTGTCCAAACGAAAAGTCCCAAAATGTCTGGGGCTAATCATCTGCCTATCTTCAGGGCATACTCTGTAGCCCCCCCCCCATCCTGGGCTCAATAATCCTTGCGAAGGGTTCGTAGGTGAACCCAGTTCCACCCTCTGGGTTTTGACTTAAGGCCATGTACTCATACACTTTAAGGTTAGAAGGGACCATTATGATCTTCTAGTCTGACCTCCTGCACAAAATCTCACCCACCAACTCCTGTACAAACCCCTGACCTATGTCTGAGCTACTGAAGTCCTCAACTTGTGGTTTAAAGACCTTCAAGGTGCAGAGAATCTTCCAGCAAGTGACCCGTGCCCCCTGCTGCAGAAGAAGGTGAAAAACCCCTAGGGCTTCTGCCAATCTGCCCTGGAGGAAAATTCCTTCCCAACCCCAAATATGGTGATCAGCTAAACTCTGAGCATGTGGGCAAGACTCACCAGCCAGACACCCAGGAAAGAATTATCTGTAGTAACTCAGCTGTATTGAATAACTAGGTCTGCTCCTTTACCTGTGCTGCAGTTCTGTCTGGGCTGCTTCCTATCCAGCCTTTTCAGTTCCCCTCTGGGTCTCTCTGTCTCCTCCCTGCTTTAGTCAGGGTCTCTCCCAGACCTCCCTGCCTAGAGAGCTTTCCTTCTTCCTCTGGCTCTTCTGCCATCTCTTTCCCCAGCCAAGCTTTATCACCACTTAAGCCCAGTTCTCCTTCTTTACTGCAGCCACTTTCAGCTTGATATGGGGAATTGCCTGATTCCCCTCAGGTGGGGCTCATTTTGTAATCAGTTTGGTTTAGCCCCAGGCTGTCCAGTGCATGGGGCAAGCCAGCCCATTACACTAACAATGAAACATAAAATATTATAGATAACATTTTCAAAAGTGCCAAAGTAATTTAGGAGCCTAAGTTCCATTTTCAGAAGTGAAAAGTAAGATGATAAGTCACTTCTGTAAATGGGACTAGGCACTTTTGAAAATTCTAGCCTATCTCTAATCTCAGCCAGAACTGTTCAGTTGTTTCCACTAATGAGGCTTGTGGAAAATGCACTCTTTTACTTATAATAAAGTAATTCTGGCAACTTTTTCTTTAAATATCTTTACCAACCATGATTTGGAGCAAGGATTTGAAATCTGGCATTTGTTTCAGGGATGTGCCCTTTACCATGTATCTGAAAATCTGCCAATATTTGGCCAAGCTATAAGTCTTTGAAAAATCACTGTTCACACATGCTCAATAGAGACTTTTTCAGTTTTAGCAGCTACAGCTAAAGGTGGAGCTGGAGGGTGATGATGGGGGAACTAGGTCTGAACAGGCAAAAAGACTGGGACAAGGAGCCACATAGTGAGGAGACTGGGGCAAACAGCAGGGTGAGGAGTAAGAGGGGAGGACTAAAATTGAATGAGGATCCCAGGGAGGAAGACAGGGAGCCAGTGTTGGGGGGTGGGCAGGGAGGAACGGGACAGACAGAGTGGACAAGGAGCCAGGAGTGGGGAACTGGGTTTGGCAAGGAGACTAGGAGTATGAGGGGGCTAGGAGACTAAGCCCGGAAGAGGAGACTGGGTAGGTGAAAAGAATGGGACTGAGATGAGAAGCCTTAAGAGTGGAAAAGAGACTACTGGGACAGAGACATGTTGGAAAGGATAGGACAGAGCGGGTTAAGCTGGAGAGGAATGGGCAGAAGAGTTTGTGCCCACTAGAGCACACTCCCCTCGAATAGAACCCAAGATTACTGAGTCTCACCATTCCTCTGCTGTTAGCAAACACCTGTGAAACCCACAGGCAAGATGTGTGTTTAATCACCCTCTAGTGCTGATTGACATAGAGGACAGTAACCTACTGTTGCTATCAGTTACTCCACTAGTTCAGAGGTCAGTACAGTGGATCTAAAGCTTCCAATCCTGCTGATGACCCATGTGACCCATATGATGCCACATGATGGAATTTCTGTTCCTTCGGTTTGCTTTTTAAAAACCTAGACAATTACACACAAAAAACTATATTGAAAGACCATTATTAAGGTTGTAAACTCAAGCTCTCAAAAGTTAGGAATTGCCAGAATTGATGTTCATAGATTCATAGCTTTCAAGGCTGGAAGGGACCATTGTGATCATCTAGTCTGACCTCCTGTATTACACAGACCATTGAATTTACCCAAAATAATTCCTATAATATATTTGTTAGAAAAATGTCCAATCCTGATTCAAAAATTGTCAGTGATGGAGACACCACCATGACTATTGGTAAATTGTTCCAATGGTTATTTACTCTCACTGTCAAAAATTTACATCTTATTTCCAGTCTAAATTTGTCTAGCTTTAACTTCCAGCCATTGGATTGTGTCATACCTTTCTCTGCTAGACTGAACAGCCCATTATTAAATATTTGTCCCCTGATGATCAAATCACCCCTTACCGTCTCTTTGTTAAATTAAATAGATTGATCTCTTTGCATCTATCACTTATAAGACATGTTTTCTAATCCTTTAATCGTATTTGTGGCTCTTCTCTGAACCCTCTCCAATTTATCAACATCCTTCTTGAATTGTGGGCACCAGAACTGGACTCAGTATTCCTGCAGCGGTCACACCAGTCCAACTACTACGGTAAAATAACCTCCCTACTCCTACCTGAGATTTCCCTGTTTATGCATCCCAGGGTTAGCTTTTTTGGCCACAGCATTACATTGGGAGGTCATGTTCAGCTGCATATCCACCACTGACCCCACATCTTTTTCAGAGTCAGTGCTTCCCCAACGTGTAGAACCTTAATTTGGCCCCCTAGTGACATTATGATACAGTCTTTAATTACATGATGATACACTATTTTTTCCACAGGACCCCTGCCTCAGTTAGGGCACAGGATGGACATTACTCACTTAATAAGCAGCTATCCAATATTTTGTTTTGTTCAGTGTGTGACCCTAGGCCTCATTTACTTAGCTCTGAACACAGAATTATTAATTTCCTCATGTGCCTTTCTATGGTGCTCGTCTCAATAGTATCTGAATGCTTCACAAACATTCATTAATTTATGTTCACAACACCTCTGTGAGATGAGGAGGTGGCATTATCCCATTTTACTGTAGGGAGCTGAGGCACAGAGAGTAAGTTCAAAGTATCCACTAATTTGGATGACCAACGTGAGACAGGAAGGATGTGATTTTTCAGAATAACTACCATTATTAGTTAGCATTTTTTAAATTCAAAGCGGAGCTCATCATTGACTTCAGTTGCAGCTGTGAGTTCTCAGTACTTCTGCAAATCAGACCCCAGGGTATCAAGTCAAACTCCCAGAAAATGAGGAACACGCAATTAATGACTACTTCTAAAAAGCCTGATTTAAATGACTTGCTCGGCATCACATAGAATTCTGTGGCAAAGTCAGGGATAAAATCCAGTTCTCCAGGACAACAGCATTTAACTGCCTTGACCATCAGAACTTTCTTTTTCTTCTGCTAATCCCCTACCTCATTCAACATACACCTTCCAATTTCTACAGCAAATGAGGCAAGGTCCTACAGACAACAGCCTCCTTTATTATACCACCCTAATTCATCCCAAGAGCAAGTCCATCCTGTAAGCTGAATGATGCATTGGTTCTGTGGAAAAAATAGTATGTGAACATATAATTAAAATCTATCATAATGCATACACACAAGGAGAAAGAATTAAGGTTGCATAGCATCCTTAATTCTGTCATTTCCATACTTCTGAGTTCTTGATTTTGAAACTTTAATAGTGTTCTTTTTTAAGTAGTTTTTATGTGTGATATATTATAATACAGGTTGGGTGAAACCTCATTGAAGCTGGTGGGCATGATAATAAAAGGGCATATCTACCATACTAGTATATGGCTTTTTCTTAAACTCTTTTCAAATACTCATCTGTAGCTAAAGTACACACTACAGTATTTTTATTTTGTATATTGGTTGCATAGCCAGCCTAAATATTGCCAAAATATTTTTTCTCAAAGTAGACTGATGAATTTGCTGCAACTTTATTTTAACTGGCTTTACTGAAAAGGTATAGTGGATTATTAGGCAGCTGAGTTTACATCTGTAAATTCATTTTTACTCACTTGGCGATCATAGTTGATTTGAGCTTCCTGCTCAATATCTGAATCTAGCTCTGGCACATCAGATAAATCAGAATCTGATTCTTCACTGTATGAATCAATACCACCCTCTGCATAAAAATTAATCCACATGTAACAGTTATTATCTAGTCAGAATAGAATATTATGTCACATTTTCACAAATTTTTAGACTACCAGGAATTAATGCAAAACCTTTAGAAGCTTTAAAGTGTTTGCAAACATTCTATGGACTTGGTGAACATTTCTGGTTTTGTATCACAAAGGTAAATACAGATAATTCTCACACTTCAATGCCAAGGTCTCTATTGTAAAAACCTGAATAATCAGTTAACTCACGCGATTAACTGAAAAAAATTAATCGTGATTAAAAAATTAATCGTGATTAATCACAGTTTTAATCGCACTGTTAAACAATAGAATACCAATTGAAATATATTAAATATTTTGGATGTTTTTCTGCATTTTCATATACATTGTATTCTATCTTGTAATTGAAATCAAAGTGTATATTATTTTTGATTACAAATATTTGCACTGTAAAAATTATAAACAAAAGAAACAGTATTTTTCAATTCACCTTATACAAGTACTGTAGTGCAATTTCTTGGTCATGAAAGTGCAACTTACAAATGTAGATTTTTTTGCTACATAACTGCACTCAAAAACAAAACAATTTAAAGCTTCAGAGCCTACAGGTCCACTCAGTCCTACTTCTTGTTCAGCCAATCGCTAAAACTAACAAGTATGTTTACAATTACAGAAGATAATGCTGCCCACTTCTTATTTACAGTGTCACCAGAAAGTGGAAACAGGCATTTGCATGGCACTTTTGTAGCCGGCATTGCAAGGTACTTACGTGCCAGATATGTTAAACATTCGTATGCCCCTTCATGCTTTGGCCACCATTCCAGAGGACATGCTTCCACGCTGATGACACTCGTTAAAAAATAATGCGTTAATTAAATTTGTGACTGAACTCCTTGGGGGAGAATTGTATGTCCCCGGCTCTGTTTTACCCGCATTCTGCCATATATTACATGTTCTAATTGAAATCAATATATTTGAAAATGTAGAAAACATCCAAAAATATTTAAATAAATGGTCTTCTATTATTGCTTAACAGTGCGATTAATCACTATTCATTTTTTTTAATTGCACGATTAATCACGATTAATTTTTTTAATCACTTGACAGCCCTAATAATGATTACTGCAATTCATGCAACTGGGACTATAGCTTACTACCTTTTATAGTGATGACATGCAAAAATTATATGGTCATCCTGAAATATTGCATGATGTGTGATCCCTCTACGTGCTTGAAATAATGTGTTATATCACATGGAAAAAATCAGTTAATTTCTGCAGGGCCTGAGACAATGTGAAAGATTTCCTGCAGGGAAATCCAATATTTAGCAGTTGACATTATGTAATGTATATGCTTCTGTTGATTATTACAGGCACAATGCACATTACAGGTACAATTTTCAAATATGACCATTTAAATTGTACACACAAATCTCACATATTCGTATGCATATTTGCACATAGACACACAAAATGGCATTTACACAGCTAAGTGCCTTTTTCATGCACAATTAGGATCTGTGTCCACAATTCAGGTGTCCAATTTTGAAAACTGACTCTGATCTAGTACATCTCTCCCTCTTATAAGTTTCTTATATTTGATGTGTGTTGAAAATATCCCTGCTTTCTTCCCAGATATATTCTCTGAATCCTGCAAAAGGATTATTTAAGTGGACTTTGCCTGGTCCATACACTAGTCTATTAACTCTAATTAATCTACAGGAAAGCAAAAGGCACTGTGCATGCTGGATGTGTCGCATTCCAGAGATTAATATGAAAAATAATATTTTTCTCTTCATTCAACACAACCTTCTGCATCAGTGCTACATATTTCTTTGATTTTTATAAAATAAAAATAACAAAGTAAATATCATAAACAAATTTTCAGAAATGGTAATTTTTACCTTGGGATGCTGTTTCGGTTATTCCATTTGTTACACTTTCTGGAATAAATCTCCACTGAAAAACAGAGTGATCAGCACCTCCTGTACTTAACACCCACTGAAAATCATGTGACCAATGTACATTAGTTACATGAGCTGAGTGGCCAGCATATTTTCTAAATTTAGCTCCTAAAATATATAAAAATAAAATTGTTAAAAGTGAAAATAGCCACTGAATGAACAAATTATATAGTTAATTTTAAAAAAAGGTGACAGGACAGTACATATAAATTGTTTTTTTTAATGGGACCATACATTAAAAATCTGCCTTGTGGCTTGTAATCTCTTGCAAATTTCCAACATTTCAAATCAAGCTTCCACCATCCTAACTGTTTCATTATATGGCCTAAAAGATAGAAGGTTATTTTTTAAATTTCATGCTGAAATAAAATAAAATAAAAAGCCAAATTGTCAGCAAAGTAACAGCATAATGTGGTACAATTATAAAAAAGCACAAGGTTCAGCAGTGCTATTGAAACTCTTGGTTCCTCAAGGCAACTGTATGATAATGTTGAAATGGTGAAATGATTAGACTGCAAAAGAGAAATATGAGCAAGTAGGCAGCAACATGGCAGTGCTGGAGTTGGTTTTAGGGGATACCATTTACATATCTTCTAAGGGTCTGTCTAGATTAAGAAAGGAAGTTGGGGTTAGCTAACAAATTTTACCTAACCCCAACCTTTACTCTACTGTACACACAAGGTCAACAACTTTTAGCTCAATATAGCTGGTCAAGGTCAGGTGACCTTGATCATTGATCGTTTCCTAATCTGGATGAAATTTCAGACAGAGTATAACAACAATAGAAGTCCTTTACCAAAACAAAGTAGTGATGGAATTATAAGACATTCTCCAGTCCCCTCTGTATAATTCTGAAAGCCTGACCAGAAAATGGAGTAGAAACTATTCTTAAAACTAGGATGAAGCGGATCCCTGTCACCACCAATCTAATAAATAACTACTGATGAGCTACCTAAGAAAAATGAGAACAGTAGCTCAGTAAATTCAGTATTTCCCAAGATAAAATAATCTTCTGAAGTTGGATTTTGCATGCCAACAGTGCAAATGTGTGACAGAGAGAGACACACACACTGCCCCTTTAAGTACGCTGCCCTTTTAAGTAGATTGGCACTCAGGAGTCTGAAGCCTGCTTGTTCAGACATAGCAACAGCTGCCAGCAAGCTCCCTCCATCCTGAGCCCTGTCCTGAACCCTGTTATGTCCCACCCCCGCTCTGTGGAGATGGGGTACAGGGGCAGGGGGACACCCTGATAGCAGCGTCCCCTCTCTTCCCTGATCTGCACAGCAAGCAGGAGGCTCCCTGTAGCAACTGGGCATGGGCTCCAAGGCAGAGGGCAGGAGCAGCACAGCAGTGGGGGGAAGGACACCTGAAGTGCCCAGCACTTGATAGCCTGCTGGGTGGCCACCTGGCCGCGCAGTTTAGAGGGAATTTAGAATCTGACCTATTTATTTATGAGGGCTGGAATAAAGGTTGGTGCCCTAAGGAAGCATTTAAAGTTGGGATTTGTACAAAACTTCCTTTTCTTGAACATGCTGAAGACATTATATTACAAAGGCTTAACCTCTTTGCCTATTAAGGCCACATTAACACCTCCTGGACGATGTCAAGGCTATACTTAACATATTAGTTAAACTATGGACTTTGCACCAGCCAGTAGAATAAGTTCTATTCATTGACTTCTTTTGAAAATCACTTCACACAAATATCCATTTTGAACCTGTCTGGACCAGGATAAGGATTGGTTTTTATACTATGGATGAATGACTTTTGCAATAGCAGACCTCCTCTGTGAGACAGAGACATCCAAAGGTCCAATGCTAAGTTAATCCTGCCTGAGAGTCCAGACCTCTTCAGTCAGAAAGGCATAAAAAGTATTTATCTTTTGTATAGTCCTGGAAAGAAGTGGAAAAGGCAGGGAGGCATATGGAAGAAACATTGCCCAACTTTGTGAGAAGTCATTCCCCACATCACATCTTGACCTTTCCTGAAGAGGCTACAGGTCACTTTATTGCTGTTTCCAGATACAAAGAGGTCAACCACTAGCCTGCTAACTTGATGAGTGAGGATTTTTCTGGTGCTAATTCCACAATTCTGCCATGCAAGTCTTATTGTTCATCTTTCCCTTAATGATCAGTGCACACAGAGATAGGAAATTTTGCTTTGCCAGGACAGGAAAAGTTGATTTTTCTCTCTGGGATAGGGCTGATCATGTTCTTTGTAGTTTATTTATGAAAACCACATCAGATACATTAACTGTGAACTCTACGTTATTGATGTTTATCTTCAAGAACTAGGGGTCACCAAATGAAATTAACAGGCAGCAGGTTGGAGGGTTTGGAATTGCACTTTGTCTTCCTGAAGGAACTTGTCTCTGAATTCCAAAAACTTGCAGTAGTTGATGAAATCATACTTCACAAGTAGTGCCTGATAACTGGCTATTCGGAATTGCAGACTGGAAGATATAAACACTTTTTTCCCTAGGAGGGCCAAGCATTTAGCCGCCTTATCTGAAGGGGTGTCTTGTTGCCTACTCCTTTCTGGAGCAGCCTGAACAACCAGGAAATTCAGGGCAAGATGCGTGAATAAAAATTCTGCTCCCTCACTTGGAACAAAGTACCTCTTTTCTGCCCTCTGAGGAATAGCTGCGCATGTTGCTGGAATATGTCCCTACTTTGGCCACTATAGGATATGACGGAGAGCTCCACCTTATGACACACTGCATTCTGTAAAATGACCAGGAGTTTGTGGGATGTCTCTTGGACTTCCTTCAGAGGAATCTGGAGTATATCAGCAACCCTCCTTAGCAGCTCCAGGATCTGCTTGTGATCATCCAGCAGAGACGGTGAGACCAGGGCAACTGCCTTGTTAGGAGATGAAGATGATATTCTTGGCAGAACCAGCAGAACTGCTGAATCCTCCACAGGCTCCTGGAGCAGGCCAGATTGGTCTCTTGGTGAAGAAAGAATGGTGTGATTCTTGATAGGACTGTACCATTTCTGAATACTGCATGTATGGGTTCCACATCCCCAGTAAGGCCAGTGAGAAGAAACCAACATGGGTTGAGGCGGTCCCCGTAGCATAGGTCATGGGGGAGCCCAGGAGATTCTCAATCCTCTATCTGGGCTCACCTTCTGTTGTGGAGATGATGTCAGTCCCTCCTCAATGTTGAATTGTCTTGAAGAGGAGAATGTAGGGTTCAATTCTAATGTAGGTGCCAGCAATATGGTAGGTGCTGCAATGCCCCTATTGATAGACAGACTGGAGACCAGCTTCTCCCTTTATAGTGCTCATGGACTGATGGTGTCAGAATCTCCCTAGACAGGACCAGATCCAATAAGATGAGAGACTGCAGATCTGGGAGGATACTCTGTTGTCATATACCTCTCCTCAGTTAGTTTCTCCCCATATTGACAAAGCCAGTGTATGAAATCCCTCAATGCAGATGGAGGTGCGAAACTGTTTTCAGGCTCTCTGCACAGGTATTAGTGCGGAGAAGGATTTGGAAGAGCCCTCTGAGGGAAGGTATCAGAAGGAGACCCCATCAGCCAGAAGGCATGTGATGCATTGTCCTAGGGATGGGGGTTCCATGACCACCACGCCCAAGAGGAGGAGATGGGTGGTGGTGGTCAGGGACTCCCTCCTAAGGGGGATGGAGTCATCCATCTGCCGACCAGACCGGGAGACTCAAGAAGTGTGCTGCTTGCCTGGAGCTAGAATCCAGGATGTGACAGAGACAGACTGATCAAGACCTCGGACCACTACCCCTTCCTACTTCTCCACCTGGGCACCAATGATACTGCCAAGAATGACCTTGAGCGGATCACTGCAGACTATGTGGCTCTGGGAAGAAGGATAAAGGAGTTTGAGGTGCAAGTCGTGTTCTCGTCCATCCTCCCTGTTGAAGGAAAAGGCCCAGGTAGGGACCGTCAAATTGTGGAGGTGGTGTTGGAGAGAGGGCTTTGGATTCTTCAACCACGGGATGCTGTTCCGGGAAGAAGGATTGTTAGGAAGAGATGGGAGCCACCTAACGAAGAAAGGGAAGAGCATCTTCATAGCCAGGCTTGCTAACCTAGTGAGGAGGGCTTTAAACTAGGTTCGCTGGGGAATGGTGACCTAAGCCCAGAGGTAAGTGGGGGAGTGGGATACCAGGAGGAAACACAAGGAGGAGGGTACAAGACGGGAAGCCTCCTGATTCATACTAAGAAAATAGGGCAATCGGCTAGTTGTCTTAGGTGCATGTACATGAATGCAAGAAGCCTGAGAAACAAGCAGGAAGAATTGGAAGTCCTGGCACAATCAAGGAACTATGATGTGATTGGAATAACAGAAACTTGATGGGGCAGTTCACATGACTGGAGCACTGTCATGGATGGGTATAAACTGTTCAGGAAGGACAGGTACGGGAGGAAAGGTGGAGAAGTTGCATTGTATGTAAGAGAGCAGTATGATTGCTCAGTGTTCCAGTTTGAAACTGGAGAAAAGCCTGTTGAAAGTCTTTGGGTTAAGTTTAGAGGCGAGAGCAATAAGGGCGATGTCGTGGTGGGCATGAGCTATAGATCACCGGATCAGAAGGATGAGCTAGATGAGGCTTTCTTCAGACAACTAACTGAAGTTTCCAGATTACAGGCCCTGGTTCTAATGGGGGACTTCAATCACCCTGATATCTGCTGGGAGAGCAATACAGCAATGCACAGACAATCCAGGAAGTTTTTGGAGAGTGTTGGGAACAACTTCCTGGTAAAAGTGCTGGAGGAACCAACTAGGGGTCGTGCTTCTCTTGATCTGCTGCTTACAAACAGGGAAGATTTGGTAGGGGAAGTAGAAGTGGGTGGCAACCTAGGCAGCAGTGACCATGAGATGTTTGAGTTCAGGATCCTGAAAAAAGGAAGAAAGAAGAGTAGCAAAATACAGACCCTGGATTTCAGAAAAGCAGACTTTGACTCCCTTAGAGAACTGATAGGCAGGATCCCCTGGGAAGCTAATATGAGGGGGCAAGGAGTCCAGGACAGCTGGCTGTATTTTAAAGAAGCATTATTGAGGGCACAGGAACAAACCATCCCAAAGTGCAGAAAGAATAGCAAATACGGCAGTTGACCAGCTTGGTTTAA